TAGGGAAAGGTCATCCAGACTTTGAGGGAGGGCTTCAGTCCAATTACCAGAATCTAGTGACAGAAATAAAGATTTTTTTTTTTTTAAATATTTTTTAAAATTTGATATTCGTTAAAGAAAAGAGCTGCAGTACCGACGGTAAACAAAACTGTTTTTGTGTGTGTGCTTTTCTGTTTACTTTAGTGAGGGACGCCATAGCCAGCAGAGAGTATTGTGTGATGGGATGGTCCCTGAAATCTAGGGGGGCGCGGAGCGGCTCGATACAGCAGACCTCTCCTTTAGAGCCGCTGAAGAGACAGCGAGAGTCGCAGGAGCGCATTCCCATGACCCTCCTGAAAGCAAAGAGAAACAGCTGACCGTTGTACAGTTCACCGTGTCGACGGATGTTCACCCGCCTGGGGTTTCTCGTCATTTACCTGAAGGCAAGTTCGAAAACGGATCCTCCGCTGTCGTTGCACACCGCGAGAGTCGGATCATCCGTGAACTACGGGAGGAAGTCCAACAGGGAGGAGACGTCAGACGCACTGTACCGAACGCTAACACACACACACGTGTGTTTGTATGCTGTGTGTGTGTTTGTATGCTGTGTATGACTGTACCTTCACATGTAGTATAGCTGTTCCAGGAGGATGGGCATCAGTGATCGTCCTCAAAAGTTTCCCGTTGGCCAAATCCCACATTGTAATCTGAATGAGCAGACAGACAGGTTTGGTGGTTACGTCGCTATCTTCCATACATTTATTATGAAGGTCTTGTTCAATACATTGTCAAATGGTGCTATACGTAGAAGACAGCTTCGTTTACACTCACTGATTGTACGCCACGCGTTGGATTGTGCGTGAACATTAACTTATTGATTTATTTCTTGTTTTTTTGGGAACTTTTTGCCCTTCATTATGGCTCCCAGGCGTAAGTCAGACTCTCCTGATGTTTTTATGCCCTAGATCATCCGTGCCAAATGCGGCCCGCCAAGCCGTTTTGTGTGGCCCGCGGGAACTTAAAAAGCATTTAGTAAAGTCCATGCAGCAGAGTTTCTTAACCTAAGAAATTAAAAGTTTTTTTAATCAATTGCAGAAACATGGATTAGTCTGTTATGGAGTGGTTACTTCTATATCTGTGGTCCCTGACCTTTTTTGTTCCAAGGACTGGTCAGCCAGTACTAGCCGTTACTACAGACCAAGGTGCCGAGCATTGTAGGATCATTCAATTTTCAAAATAAAACAAAAAACATCTTTTAGACTTCTATTCTGTAAGTATCAGAGTCTGAATGATCTATTTAAAATAAGGCCGGATTGTCTTTAAATCTATGCAGGTAAGTCTCTCTTGGTTTTTTATGGTGATAACTGTCCGTAGTTCGAGAGGTGAGTGGTGCCGGAAAATGTACCTGTCCTTTGGCAAACCCGCAGAGAAGTCTCGAGCAATCATGGTTGATGCTGAGGGCGGAGACCGCTCCGAATTCCGCACCGGTCGTCTTGGTACCCAGGCAGAGCCGTAGAGCCTGGTTGGTGTCTGGAGAAGCAGAAGAGGACGTTAAACTGCTGCAGATTCGTACAATGAGTTCAATTCAGGGGTCGGAAAAGGAACGAAAATTAAAAAAAGAAAAAAAGAGAGCATTTAAAATGAGCCTGTAATGAACCGAATACATGAGAACAACATCCAAGCATGCGCCGATGATTCGCAACCAAAATCAAAAGCCATAACATGAAGCACGGAGGAACCATTCCACAGGGATATCCATACCTTTTCCTGCCGACAGAAGATCGAGTCAGCAATGTAAAGAGACATGGGTCAGCAGTGACAGAAACACAAATACAACCCAGTCACTTCTAATGGTCCGTTTACAATAAATAAATGGCTTAAAAGAAAAGAAAGAAAAAAGTACATTATTTTATTTTGAAAGATTCCCACTTCCTATGATTTTATTTTGAAAGATTCCCACTTCCTCCTGGGCATCGATCCCAGTGTTGCGCTGCAATTAATCAACTTATTCTGCATTATGGCAAATTGATTTTAGTGTGCAATTATTACAGCATTGATTCTTACGCTAATATATGGTATATAATGAACAATACATATTAGACTGAAGTGTTTGTTGAAAGTGGAAAAAAATAAAATGTACAGACCAGTGTTATATTGGGTTGATATATATATATATATATATATATATATATATATATATATACATACATATATATATTCATATATACATATATATATACATACATATATACATATATATACACCTCAAAAATACATACTTCTGCCAAACACATTTTTTCATATTTATTTCAACTGTTTTTTAACAGTGACTGTTCTACGCCTGAGAAGCAGACAGTAGCTTTGTTTCACAGTGATTGGATTAACCACCGTCCCCCCCATTCTCTGTCTCTTTTGAAGCGTTACCCTGTGATTGTGAGGTGCAAAAAGGACAATCTTATTTTGAAAGGATTTAACCAACTGGTCAGCTTGATCCAATCATTCTACAGCATCAGGATGGAGAGCAGACACAGAATCAGCTGATAAAACCAGTAGGAGAGATGACTGCTTGTCAATAAAAAGGCCAGTGAACTTAATGTGCAGTCTGACTTTAGCACCAGATCCAAACTGTAACCCAGAACGTCGAGGTTCACCCAATCTACTGCTTCTGCAGAGCCCAGAAAGGTAAGAAATCCTGGATTTTATTTTCACTCTAAGAAGGTTAGGCCATGATTGAGAAGATTGAAAAATCCATTTAGAAATTACATGTATTTAAAGCATAAAATATATGTTGTGATTTTTTTTTAGTAAATATTATTGGGTGTCACAGTGAAGCATAAAATATATGTTATGATTTAGTAATTTAGTAAATATTATTGGGTGTCACAGTATAGAAAATGAATAGAAATAGAAAAACTTTATATTCTTTTCATAAGAGATTTTTTTTATTTTAATCAGAATTAATATAATCAACTGTGAACATTTCAAGTAAAAAAGTTCTGAAAAAATATTAAGAGATGCAGTTTTTATAACTACCTACAATTTCCGTTCAAGTTCTTAAATTTATTTTGCCATTTAAAGTTAACATAAATATGAAAATAGTATTCAATAGTATAATTTAAATAGTATTTATTATATTATATTATTATAATTTATTATTATTATTGGAAATTGTTGCGTAAAAATGACATGATATGATGTTGCTGTTCTTATTGTCCAATTTATTTTTTTATTTTTTTTTATTTCTTTATTTTAAGCCCAAGAGAGATGCAAAAAAAACCCAGTCAAATTCCTCATATGAGTGTTCATATTTGGCCTATAAATCGGGTTCTGATTCTGATTCACTACAAAAGTTTATTATCTTGGTGTCATTTTTGCTCCACAATCTCAAAATGCTTCACTCCATTCTCTATACGCTCCTCGTCTTTCCTTCAGTTTCCGACCTGCTGTTTGACCCCACTGGCTGCCCAGACATGCCTCTTCGACACTGCTCTGTGGAGATAGCCAACAACTCGGCCTACTACACTCTGTCCAACCCCAGGTAAAATTATGTTTGTTTTTTTGTTTGTTTTTTTTTCCCTAATATAAATATAACTTGTAATATACCTGGAATGTGGTGTCTATTATACAACGTCAAATGATTTCAAAATCTCCCAATACATACTCTGAACAGTGACCACAAACTGGCGGCCTGCGGACCAAATATGGCCCAAAGAATCGTCCGATTCGGCCCGCAGCTGGATTTCCAAATAAACATCAATAATAATAATAATAATAATAATGTTAGGCTAAATGTGATTTTTATTTAATTTTATTGAGTGTCCAGCTCCCAAGGTGACGGTCAAGAAAAAAAAATTCTTCTTTTTTTTAATATTTGAGATGGATCGATGAATGGATATTCTTTATTGGTCCCTAAATTGGAAATTAACTAAAACAGCAATGGTGGGAAAAATAGTGAATAAATTAGAAATAACAATTACAAAAATATTGAAAAAAACTATCGTCAATATGTCTACTGTCCTATCCAGTCCAAAAAATGTTGGGCCTTGTCCCACATTTTGTCTTTCAACACAGTCAGACCTTGGAATGTTCTGTCATTTAGGACAGCGGTTCCCAACCTTTTTTGTACCAGGGACTGTTCGACCAGTATCAGCTGTTACTGCGGACCAGTAATAAGTACTAATATAATATCTTTAAGACTTTATTCTGTTAGTATTTGAGTCAGAACGACCCTTTGTTTTGAAACATTTCCAGATTATCTGTCGGATTCTTTTTGAATGAAAGTAAATAAGTTAAACTGAATTCGATTTTTTCCACTGTGTCCCATTGCGGCCTGGAACCAAATTACCTACGGACCGGCACTGGTCCCCGCACCGGAGGTTGGGCACCCCGGATTTAGGAGATATGAGTTCCAGATCACTATTAATTTAGACGCATCGTCTTCGCACAACTTCCTGATGCCCTGTATCTCTCTGTGTTCAGGGTCTTCACTAAGAACGGCCACTGCGAAGTCCCTCTGCCGCCGATGGTGGGTCCCCGTTCCAACGCCACTGCCCTTTTCAACAAAACCACAGGCGCCGCAACTGGTGCCGTGGGCGTCTTTACCTACGACATTTCTAACCCCGACCTGGACGACTACGACCACGTCGTGGCTGTGATGTACTCCGTGCCCTTTGACAGGAACGTCTACTCCAACTGGGTCGGTGTGGGCATCTTCGAAAAAGGCATCCCCTGCGACCAGAGCTTGTTCAATATCATGTACGACGGAAGCGAAGACACCTTTGTAAGAGCTGAGGGCAACGGATCCTGCGTTTCGTTTGAGGGCGATTATGCGATTGTGGCCGCCTCCATGTCGGAGTCAGGGGAAGCAGTCCTTAAGGTAGAGATCCATGACACTGGTTTCAACTAAGTTATGAGAGCGGGCGTGTAGAAAATCGCGTGATCAACGCGAATTAGCAAAAATGATATTCAATAAAATGATGTGGCTTTATATAAATCTGATTTGATCTGACAAAATAAAAACGAGCATGTTAAGGTGTCTCTCGGCAAATTTCTCCCTTTAATATTTCCATTAATTAACTTTGGTTGTATGTTTGTGCTAATGTTCAGAGACTATATTAACATTATGGAGCTCTAATAAATGCTTATAGTAAAGTTAAGTAAATTAAAATGTATTTTTTTTCAATAGATCCGATATAAGAATCTATTGAAAAGGGTATTTTATTGAAAATTTTTCACTTACTAATAAAAAAAAACCAGGTAGATGAGGATTGAATTTTGTCACATGACCAAATCTAAGTGCCTGATTCAACTAAAATAGCATGAAGACATAGCAACCATTCTGAGATAAAGCACGGTTATTTTTAGCTGATATGTCTTTCGGACTGAAAATACAGTGAAATCAGGAATGATGCTTGACGTCATGTCATTATATACAGTACATATCTACATACGTCTGTTAGGGTATTTTCCCAAAACTCCATTTTAGTTTGAGTTTAGGCTGCACTGATGTGTTTTATCAACAAAAAAAACCTAGATCAGGCATGGGCAAACTACGGCCCGTTTGACATTTTAATTCGACCCACCAAACTTTGTCCAAATTATGTTATTATTTACTGTATATTATCATTTTAATTCTGGCCTTTTCCCTGCAATACCAACTTTTCCCCAACAGATGGCGTAGAAAATGATTGTTTTAGCCCTTTTTGCATGACTTTTACATTTAATTTATCTACGTTTACACAAACGCTCCATCTATCTGCTCCTGACCGCCCCCCCCCCCCCCCCCCGTATAATTTTAGGACCCATTGTGGCCCGCGAGTCAAACGGTTAGCCCACGTCTTCTCTGGATAGCATTTGGAGGTTGACTAAGTTGCGACTCACCAAAAACCAGGGCCAGTCCATGAGATGTTCCCACAGCAATCACAGCTGACACTGTCTGAGCACAAGAAACAGCAGAGTTTGACCAAGAACACAGACAAAACGACGTACATGTACATCTACATATATGTATAAATATATACACATATATATATTAGACAAATATTTGTAAAAGTGCACAACATTTTGTTTCCTTTTTTTCTCTCTGTTCACTTTTGGTAGATCTGGTGCATCTTCAAACAATGTCGTTGAATGCATGTGCTGTACCCTGTATTTTTGCAGGCTTTTTCCTCCTTAGGTATTTACAGTAAATGTAGAGGACCAGACTCAAATGAAGAAAATCAGAAGCCCTTTCTCCAAAATATAAACTGCAGAAGGCACAGATGCTTAGAGACAATCAATAATGCCCCCAAATGGTCCTAGACGCCTTGAAAAATTGCCCGTATTTTCCAGACTACAAGCCGCTACTTTTTTTCCCCCACTCTTTGAACCATGCGGCTTATATAAAGATGCGGCTCTTCTATGGATTTTTCTTCAAGACGCCCCCTTGCTAGAACGCAAGGTGTTCTTTCTGTGTTCCTGGATATCGGCGGCTTATATGTGTAAATTTATATATTTTTAAAAAAGATTAGTGGGTGCGGCTTATATTCAGGTGCGCTCTATAGTCCGGAAAATACGGTAATGTTATTGAAAGGGAGCTTCTGGTTTTCTACTTTTGCTTCAAATAGATGATATACAGTGAATGAAAATACTTTCCTGACATTGTTTCCCTACGGTTTAAGAATTGTGTTTAACCAAATCAGAACACGCGGTTGTGCAAAATCATACTCACTATAGCGGTCGGCAATCCAGCATCCACTTTATCCTGTGTGAAAGACACACGTTTCTTGTGTTATTCCTCTGTGCAATGTTAAAAACTCATCAAGGCAAGACTTTAAAAAAAACTGCACATTTGCAGTATTCACAGTTCACGTCCCACTTCTCTACATCCCTCTGTCTGCGGCCTGCGTGTTTGTGTGCACTCACAGCTGCAGAGACGATCTGCGCGGAGATGCCCTTCAACAGACTGCGTCGAAGAACAGATCCGTGCACTGACGTGTTTGCGTCCACCGTTCTGCGTCTTCTGAAAAGACAAAAAAAAACAAAAAAAACTGTTCAGTATCTTATAAAACAATATTTGATTCTGCATTCCCAATTTCTCACAAATACGTAGAACCTAGATAGAAAATATGTGTAGCAAAAGTCAGTCTAATTCAGTGTTGTTCAACCTTTGGGGTCGGGACCCCCATGTGGGGTCGCCTGTAATTAAAATGGGGTCACCTAAGATGTCTGGTAATTGATATACTAATTATTATTCCTTTTAAAATTATAATTAAAAACACAACATAACATCTGAGCTGGCACATCTTGACTGACGGCTTCTAAAATGTCTCAGAAATTTGTGATGTGAAAATTGAGTCGCAAGCCCAAAAAGGTTGGAAACCACTAGTCTTATTGGTCAACATACGGCGTGGAATTACGGTTCATTGGCAGCTTGATCCTGTTAGCCAAATACGGGTCACAAGCTAGCCATTCCTCCACCACGTGCCATAACAATTAAGTTAAAAAATACAATTACGAGTCAGGCGCGTACGTTTGACATTATTGCACAGACCGCTAGATATTGGGGCTTCCTTCCTTCCACTGTGTCCATCGGATCCACAGGCTGCTGTTCATCAGCTACTTACACTTTGCTCTAACTCATTTCGGTGCCAATTTTTTTTATTATTCACTCTCCCGATGCAAGACTATCAGGCATTCTCTTCGTGTTCTGACAACCTGTTCCAAGCCTCGGCCACTGTAAATCTGAACAGCCGCCATCTTCCAGCCAAGAGACCTTGTCTGTGTCCTTCACAGGACTGTCTGCAAAATTTAAAAAAAATGCCTTTGGTCAAGCGTGGATCCACTTCCTGGAATATTACCCATCCACGCACTGCGTGTTAGCCATCTTGGCACAGCCCTTACAACGACAACAACTACCAAGACCTGTTTCTTTCTCAAGCCTCTTATAAGGAACTCATAAATGACCTCACAACGACAAGCCTCTTATAAGGAACTCATAAATGGTATTACTGTACTATTTGTACAAATCTGGCCCACAGTTGAATTATATTTGGCCCAAGAGATCATATCAAATTTGTACTAGAGTTGGCCCGCCATTATATATATATATCAAATATATACTGGCAGGATTTGTAGTATTAGTACTATGTTATAGCACATACAGTTTTTTTTTTTTTTTTGGTTTTTGTTGATGTACCTGTGAGTTCATTAAATACCACTGATAGGATTTTTTTTCTATTTTATATATAATATCCTATATAATATAATAACCTATTGTTGTTCCAGATTCCAGATGTTAACGCAAAATTAAAGTTTGTTTCCATATGAAAAAAATTTCTAAAAAAAAAAAAAATAAATAATTCTACATTACATATCTGGAGGGAAAAGAAAATATGCTCAACTGACGACAATTTCAATAAAGTTTTAGTTTGGCCCAAGGCTTCGCCCCAGTTTTGAATTTGAGTTTGATACCCCCGTTCTAACTGGTTGCAGCCTCATGACATGGCATTTTATCAGTGAGACTGTTTCAATTGCTTTTATTTTGTTGAAGGTCATTGAAAAGTACTGTACGATACACCTAGAATTTTTTTTTTTTTTACACTCCCCGGTGGTCTGCATTTTAAGGCAGGGTTTTAAGGTGAGCGGGGTCTCCACTATCCGAGCTGGCCAAAGAGGACGTGTCACAGGAATGAGTGTCCATGTTGTCGGTGCTCATCACACACGTGTCCTCTAGGACAAATGGTTCCTCCTCATCGTCCAGCTGAAAAACAAAAAACATGGATTATTATGTGTCAAAATGGCTTGGTTCGTCGGTTGCAGTTATTCTGTTGAGGTGTGTGAGCTGGTGCAGAAACACGCACTAACCTCATTGAGGATGCTCTCCAGCGTGGGGGGCGTGTCCACCTGGGGAATATCAAACTCTTTATCATCGATCTGAGGAGAAAACAAATCTCAAGGTTAGAAAGCAACGTACGATCTCAATCTGACAGGTAATTTAATATCATCCCATTTTCAATATTTATATCTTTTATTTATTTTTACGTCTAACGCTATTTCGCCCTTGTCTGGTAACCTTAAAGTGGATGATGCTACTGTGAAACTTTCCTATTTTTAAACGATAAAGTACAGTACGTCTATCTGTTGTAGCATTGCACCATTGGTCGTAGCACCACCTACAGGTGGAAAGGGAAATGCATGCTATGTAATACAAAGAAAAAAACACACCTGTCTTTAATGTGCTTGCGTCTTTACTATTTACTCACTGAAGTGCGAGAATGTGAAATGTTTCCGTCCACTGTTCTGTATGCCTCCCGTTACTTCCATGTATGAGTCATTTTGTTTCGTGTGTTAACCATTTAGGTTCTTCTTTCAACATAATGTTCAACAGGATTGTGAAGAACAAACATTTCTGCAATTAAACATGTATTTAAAACACCTTAGAATGTATACTGTATCTGCACGGTTTACACACAACATCACGTGACGTGTCAGCAGTTCACACCTGCACTGACACAGTGAAAACGGACGAATAATTCTCACAGTTCACAGAAACCATTTGTCATTATCACTTATTAATTTACAACTTTTAATAATAGTTAATATGAACAACTCGGAGGAGAGTCTCCGGCAGAACAGCCGGTGTTGCGTCACTGATATCCGCTAAATCGGATGTTTCTCACCGTGCCAACCTCCATCAGGTTGAGCTGTGAGGAGGCGGAAACAAGGCTCCGGGTGTCCGGAGACTCCGACATCTCTGAATAAACCCCAAATGGAAAGGAGGAATTAGGTGAGGCTCCGCGTTTTATTATTGTTGTTAGGTCAGCCCACCAGTCTCTGTCTGACACAGGAAGTAATCTCCCTACGTTGTTTGTGCGTCTACGGATGAACGCTTTCAAAGCCGACTTACCGCCACCTGCTGTACTGGAGGCCTAACAGCACACTGGTATACACTATATTGAAACAATATATTTTCTTTCTCTGTTTTTCATCATTTATATCTAAATCTAGTAAAATTATATGTTTTATACATTTATTTGTCTAAAGAGATAATACTTATTTTACTAATGCTGTTATATGCACTTGTTAAAAATATAACGTGAAAGATATTTGAATGATGCGGTTCTTTCATATTCCGTCTTTTGACAGAAATGTGTCTACTTTCACACTTAATATTATTTTATTATTTACCATGACTATTTCAACCACAACCATACTGGTATATGGTTTTGAAAACTCGTCATGAAACGACCCTCTAAATCGAATTGCAATATGGGTAACAACTGGTAGGGACTTCTATTCAACTTTTGCATTTTAAGGCAGGGTGTTGCCCCCTTGTTCCTAATGCACAGAGATATAGACTTAGATATTTACAAAATCCTTATATAATCTCAATTGTCAATGGCAACAAGCACTCTTCTAAAGTTTAAGGAATGTAGATGTCATAGTGTAGCGGTTATCGTGGCAGCCTTACACGGAGAAGGTCCTGCGTTTGAGCCCCAGGAAGAAATATATACATAAATACAAGCTACATCCGGTTTACATGCTTGTAAAGGATAGGTAGGAAGGAATATTCAGCTCCACTGTAATTAGCAGATGTTGCTAAATATGAAACGCTGTATGTTGTACAGCGAGTAGTACTTACAATAAATAAAAACTAAAACATCACAATAATCATAATTACATTTTATGGTTTAACAGTTTAACATAATATGTATGTTTTTATTTACATAACATATTTTATGTTGTATATTTGTTTTATAATAATTAAGTAATTAAAAAAATTACTTATTTAAGATTATGTATTGCCCTGAAAAGTAAAAGAAAATATAAAAACATTAAAAATAATTGCTACAAACTGATTATTATTATTATTGTAGACATCTTTGATGACATCATCTTAACTGACTTCATTTTAAAGCTGATGCATTTCTTGTTAATTTCACGCTCTTTAAAAAAACGGTGGTGCTTTTCAGAAAGGAAAAGTGTGTGTGTGTGTGTGTGTCTGTCTGAAGATGAGGAAAGTGACGAAGGCAGGAAGCAGTAGAGGAAAGGAGACAAGGAGACCAGCAGACAGTGTTGGTCCGCGGCATGCTGTGTTCCTTCGACTCCGTTCACCTCCATTCACACAGTAAATAAAAGCATGGAGGCTCAGACTCTCGGGATCTAACACCGAACAGCGGGGGGTAAAGACACCGCCGCATGCGCTCTACTTCTCGCCAAAAACACGCTGGAAGGAAGCGGTACAGCGGAGAAGGCTTTTCCATAAGGATTTGGACTGTTTTTTCCCACCGAGGGGAGGATTATAACGGGTGAAAGGAGCGGGGCAGCCCGCCGCGCTGAGCATGAAGCGGTCGGCTGTAGTGGCCAGGCACAATGGCCTCGTCTCTCCGCTGGGAAACAACAACTCTGGAGCTTCCAGCATCGTTTCGCCGCCGCAGCCGAGAGCCGCCGGCATCGCCGCCTGTGCGGATAGCGGTGCCGGCGCTGGGATGGACGGCCTGCTGGATTTCTCCAAAGGCCCCAGTGTGAAAAGCGAACTGGTGTGCAAATGGATTGACCGAACTTCTTCGAGGCAGAGGCTGGGGAGGACGGCGACGTCCATCTGCGACCAAACTTTCAGCTCCATGCACGAGCTGGTGGACCACGTCACCACGGAGCATGTAGCAGCGGGGCTGGAGAGCCTCAGTCACGTCTGCATGTGGGACGAGTGTATGCGCGGCGGGAAGGCTTTCAAAGCCAAATATAAACTCATCAACCACATCCGTGTGCACACCGGGGAGAAGCCCTTCTCCTGCGCCTTCCCCAACTGCGGCAAGATGTTTGCACGGTCGGAGAACCTCAAGATCCACACTCGCACACACACTGGTACGGCTTCATGTTTTAACCCCCCTCCCTCCCCGTGCATACGTATACACACGCGCACACTCTCATTCACACCTTAGTGTGTTTGTGTGAATCTGTGTCATCCTCGCGGAGAACAACACACAGATTTACACAGTGGCAGACTGTTCCCCCAGTCTGCCAGGAATCCCCTCCATGTTTACGTGCGGGCTCGGTGCAGTTTCGCACAGTCCTTTTCCTGCCTCCTCGTTCCCTAACGAGGAGACACAGCTGTAAACTGCAGCCCAGGAGTCATGTAAGGTGACAGGAAGTAAACGGCAGAGCAGCTGGAGTATGAGGAAGGAGGGTGAAGAGGAGCAGACGAGGCCGTTGGATAACAGCACAGAAACATACAAAGAACATATAAACACTACTATTTCCTGTTTTGTGCTATGCGTTTAGCTACGTATGTGGGTGCGTGTTTGTCTGCACATTAATGACTAATGACTTAATGCTCAATTATTAAAATACCAAGATGGCCTTCGACAGGCGAAGGGTAGACTGACGACTAAAGCGTGAATTTTACTACGCATATTTTGTATTTGACATTAATATTTTTTTAAATTTAGAGTCGGCGATGTACTTTAGGAAGCAGTTGTGACATGGTAATTAACTGTTAGTGTCATTCAAAAATTCAAATTTTTAGCCAAAGTGATAGCTCGTCCACAGTTGGACGCGTGAAAACCAGCACAATTTTAAACATTTAACGTGTTTGGGCGGCATGTATATAGTGAGGCTAACGTGAAAGGGTTCCGATCACTGAGCAGCAGTTGTGTTTTATGACCAGAAAAAGCATTAAAGAAAGGGTTTTTTTTTGTGTGCTGGTAGAGAAGTTCAGGGGAGGTCAGAGGGTGTTGACCTCTGTCCTTTGTCCTCTGTGAATCTTTAAAAAAAAGCATATGACACACACAGTAGTGAGGTCCGCTACGACGTATGGATTAGGGACCGTGGTTTCGTCGGGAGAGCCACGAGGTGGCAGGGATGAAAATGTTAAACAGATTGGATTGATAGGATTAGGAAAGATCAGCCAAGGTTTAACAGGATGGAGGTAAAGAGGAAGGAGGGGCTGAGGTATCAGACGTGTGTTCTGGAGAGGTAATGGAGGTAGTGGACAAAGGATGGATGGGTAGATGGATGGATGGATGGATGGGTGGATGGATGGATGGATAGATGGATGGGTAGATGGATAGATGGATGGATGGGTAGATGGATGGGTGGATAGATGGGTAGATGGATGGATGGATGGATGGGTGGATAGATGGATGGGTGGATAGATGGGTAGATGGATGGATGGATGGATGGATGGATGGATGGGTGGATGGATAGATGGGTCGATAGATAGATGGATGGATGAATAGATGGATGGGTAGATAGATGGATGGATGGATGAGTAGATGAATGGATAGATGGATGGATGGGTAGCTAGATGGATGGATGGATGGATAGCTGAGTAGATGGATAGATGGATGGATGGGTAGATGGATGGATGGATGGATGGCTGAGTAGATGGATAGATAGATGGATGGATGGATGGATGGCTGAGTAGATGGATGGATGGTAGATAGATGGATGGATGGGTAGCTAGATAGATGGATGGATGGGTAGATAGATGGATGGATGGGTAGATGGATAGATGAATAGATGGATGGGTAGATGGATGAGTAGATGGATGGATGAATAGATGGATGGATAGATGGATGGATGGGTAGATGGATGAATAGATGGATGGATAGATGGATGGATGGATAGATTTACTTAAGTCATTCACCTACACCATCACAGTGGTGACATCATAATCTAGGACATAAAAACATCAGAAGAGTCAGACGTACATTTGGGAGCCACAACAAAGGGCAAAAAGTTCCACGAAAAAAAAAACAACACAAACCAAAGAAAGTGAATGCAGCACAATCCAATGTAGGACGTACAACCGGTGAATGTAAACAAAGCCGTCGTCTGCGCATAGTGTCGCCTGACAGTGTATTCCGTATTCCAACAAGTTCTTGTCCGAAATGTCTTCCATCTTAGAGTAGAGAGAATCATTTAACATGCGTATATATATTTATTTTATTACGTGTCCCACGTGTGTGAGTGCTATTTTTTTAGATGCATTTTTGCAATTTTTTTCAGCTCTGTAATTACATAATTATCAAGTTATTGTGCCGTTTTTTGTTATGCCGTCGTAACACAGCAGTCGACCCTTTGTTTTCCCTTTGCAGGTGAGAAACCATTCCAGTGTGACTTCTGTGAGCGACGCTTCGCCAACAGCAGCGACCGGAAGAAACACTCGCAGGTCCACACCGCCTCCAAACCCTACGACTGCAAGGCCCTCGGCTGCACCAAGTCCTACACCCACCCCAGCTCCCTGCGCAAACACATGAAGGTTCACATCAAGTCCTCACCTACCTCTGAGCCCCAGGATCCGTACGACTCCATCTCTCACCAGCTTCAGCAACCTCATCAGGCTCTCCTCGAGCCGCTGAACCTTAAAATGAACCGCTACTCTCCGCCGCTCATGGACAATAACGCCGAATTCCCGCTCCTGTCAAATCACAAACTGGGTATTAGTTCTGCCAGCGAGGTGGACCACAAGCTGCTGCTGAGGAGTTCGTCCCCGGCGGCGATGCCTCTGGATCTGTCTCTGTCGGGCCTGAAGAATCAGCTGACCCAGAAGCAGCAGAGCAGCAGGACACCGCGGAGGGGCCAGCGCTCGGTCAACCCAGCCTTACCTCACTTGTCTAACATTAAAGAGTGGTACGTCTGCACCAGGACTACAGCGCCACACTTTCCTCTGCTTCACCCGGACCACATCAAATCAGAACCTAGCGACGACGACGAGTACGTCACGTAAGGCAGGAAATGAGATTGANNNNTCGTACGTTGTTAGGCCCCGGGGTCAGGACGGACAGTGCTCTGTGGAATCGTCATTGCTGTATTTTTTTTTAAATTTTATTTTATTTTTTGGAACCAGCAGGTGATCGTTTTGTAGTCAGTCGTCCTTCCGAGAAGGAGAAGGCTGTGACGGCACGGGAAGGAGATTTCCCTTTTCGTTCCGCGTCACGCGCAACACTTTTGTCTCAGAGATTCGTACCGTCCAGGACCAAGACGCAGTGGCTCAAATGATTCCACGAGGGACCAGATGGCAGTTCATCAGAATGCTTATCAAACTAAATGTCCGACAGAAAATGCAAGCTAATCTAATCGGTGTTAGCCAGCTAACCTGAACTAACACATGGGATATTTTTGTTTAAATGGACCAGAGAATGTTGGGGACTTTTGTGATATTTGTGTCAAAAATATGGAACGTTCGTGTGTGTGTGTGTGTGTGTGTGTGTGTGTGTGTACATGATGGCCTCTCTAGAGATAGAGAATATTAACCCGTATGTCTAAGACCTCCACAGAGATATAATCGTCTCAAGGGCTAAATTGACACTCATGGAAAGTGGTTCATTTTAACCTGAGCTCTAAGTATTACGGTATGTTAACAGGGCAGCTGAGTGTGCGCCTGGTATTCCGAAGAAAGACGCGTCGCATCAGAAAGAAACATGACAGTAGCATCGGCTGCCGGTGTTGGAGTAATACTCCAGTCTTTTTTTTTTTTTAAGACCGTGGTAACGATACACAGTACTGTGTAACAGTGAGGAGAATAAATTGCCCGTCAAAGTCCATGTTCACAACACATGCAACGACATCACCTAAAAAAAAAAAAAAAAAAAAAAAGCCAGTTTGGGAAGAAGCCTGCCCCCTAGGGTATCGAGGCATTGCACTGCCATACATTTTCACCAGAGAAAAAAAAAAAGTGTCCCGTTTTGAGGGCTGCAGCCCTAAGCTTTGACACGACGTCGGTGTACGTGGAGCATTGTCAAATGGAACGGTCTATTCTCACCATGCATGTACTGCAAATATTGCAAATACTGTCACCAGCTGCACCCGTTCGGTTACTTTCAGCTATTTCCCCCCACAGTTACTGCCTCATGTTTTGTTTCGCATCAGTGTGCGGTGGATGCTGGAGGTGTGTGGTGTTCTTCTTTCGAAGCAGCAGGCCAAACTGTTCTACCTGCGTTCTAATATGGAGGAAGTTGCTAGACCAGAGGACGTCTCTGGTCAAGCTAGAAGAATGATATTGTATATAAGTTACACATCATTCAAACAAATAAGCTAAAAGTGAGGCATTAAAAACAAAAAAAAGCACTGCAAGGAATTCTTTTTATTCTTCCAATACCAGTACTAGAAAATTCTAGGGCCGGTTTAGGCCCCCCCCCCCAAAAGTCCCCGCTTAAGCTAGCAACTGTCCCACATACAAATAAAAAAACACAAACACATGCCATAGTCTAATTTTAATTTAGACGGTGCTTACTGTGAGATAATCAACTTTTGTATAATTTAGATATTTTCTTTTGGCTCTTATATTTAACTACCTACTCTTATATGCGTTGTATTTTTGTCCAATTCCCTCCTACACCTCAGCCATACCTCACAGGCCAAAACACAACTGCTTATTGAGAAAAAAACAATGTCTGTGTTTTTTGTTTTTCAATTGTCTTATTCTGTTCCGTAACATACTGTACAGTGCAGTGTAGTGTCATGCACTTCACATTTTCATCGCTGCCTCCTTGGTCACATTACAGCACTTCCTTGTTGAAAATTTGATTTGATTTCTTTTTTTCTTTTTCTTCTCATTTTTGGTGAACTCTTCATTTTAATAATAATTAAAAAAATAAATAAATATTTTAAGTTTAAAAAAAAATATATTGAAATCCTCTTTTCAAAATGACGCAAGGATAAAAAAGCAAAATAGGAAGTGGTGAACACCAGGATAGTAGCAGATGCAGTACTGCAGTACTACCCTTTACCCCAGGTTATGTGAGATTCAATCGTGTCCAATAGGAGTTCTTGATCCACTGTGACCTCCGCCTATAATTTTGTGACATGGGTGCAAAAAAGACACATAAAAGTCATGCTCTTAGCCTTTTCTACGCCATCCAATGGGAAATGCGGGCATTGCACGGAAAAAGGCGGAAGTATAATGATAGTTGAAATTAACAATTGAAACAACTTTGGCGGCCGGATCAAAAAGCCAAACGGGCCGCATCCGGCCCCCCGGGCCGTAGTTTGCCCAGACTTAAACCATCTAGTGCTCTGTTTAGATTGATGCCTAAATTTGATAACTTTGTTCAAACGATGAAGTTGTTAATATCCCACTGTGACGAAAATGAGTTTACAAAAAGTACTCTTCATGCACTATCAAATACCAACATCGTGTCTCATACAGACTGCGATGGAAGTAAATTGTTTGGAGGCCTCTCCGGAGCAGCATGTACCAGAGTCATTGTTAAGCTACTAAAGCAATGGAAGTGAACGAATTCAGCTGATAACTGCGAGGGGGGGAGTGGGAGGGGGGGGGGTGAGCAAAACTGTTTTACACTAGGGCTGGTGTGAAGGACTGGTTAGTATTTTTGTACTGAGGCAACATGTGGCTGTCTCACATGCATTAGGTGTTGTTGTTTAAAAAAAAACATGTGTGGCTGACATCATTGTGTTTTACTATATGCTGTTTTCTTTGTCAGAAAATGCAGAGCCTTGTGTATTAAAAAAAAAAAAGAGAGTCGGAGTCTGAGGTCACATGAGCCCGCAGTTATAATGAGCCTTTCATAAAAAAAAAAAAAAAAAACAGTTCAAAACCAGGGTCAAAACCATGAAACTGATTTTCTTCAACTGATCGTCAAGCTTAACATCTCTAACCCAATGGAGCTGGAATTTTAGAGTGTTTTAATGTTTACACTCCGTTGGTGACTAAGTTGAGATATTTTTAAAAAAATTCTTGTTGTTTTTATACGCATAATAAAAAAAGAACGTGGGCTACAACACGACACCAGCAAGTTATCGCACTTACGCAAAATTTTAGATTTGAATACGGAGTCAAGTGAGAATACCACACCGAGAGGCAATCGAAAAATAGCAGTGTATTGTGTTGAATGTTGGCAACTACAGTTTATAGAGATAAACACATTATCCCATTAAACATCGCGGACTGAGTACAGTACACGACCTAGCAAGTGTTGGAGTGTTTCGCAGATTTGATTCTCCGAGCAACACTTTCCTTGATATAAATACGTCTCAAAAAAGCTGGAACCCAGATAAAGAGCTGTTTGTTACAGTCGGCATTTGAATTTTTTTTTGTGAAATTAAAACAAATGAACTAACTCAGCCATTAGAGTTTGTTTGTCATGGAAACTCTTTGTTTAATGGGTACAGTGGCGATACATTTGACCCAAAGTCACGTGGAAACAGGTCCAGTCTGTGTGAACCCACGCAGCGTGCGGCGGAGATAATGGACGGTCTTGCGCATGCAATTGGGAATTGAGGTTTCGCTTTGCAGACGTCTCTTTCATTGATAACAGCCCATTAGAGGCTGCACCAAACCTGTATGGCGTAGATGTGAAAAGGGTTCCTGGACATACTGAAGTGCTCAAGTGATGATAGATTCAGACTCAGAATGTCTACATGTGTTTCTTTAATGCAGTGGTTCTCAATTATTTTCTGTCATGACCCCCGTTTGGGGACAAAAATGTTTTCACGTCCCCCCCTAGCCCCCCCCAATCCAACACCACCTCCCTCCCTCCGACCCACGAATTGAAATACTATTGAGAACCTGATAACATGTATATTTGTATCTGTACAAACCACTGAATGAGTTGCTGCCACCTAGTGGCCGGAAGCATGTTATCATTCAAGCGTTAAAGCAGTGGTACTTACGTCTAGCGTGCCATATTCCATTGGAATTGGACAATTCGCCCCACTATGTGAGAAGAACTGCTTTAAAGCAAACTTTCTATAAATAATACATTTTGCAATTCATTTAACTGAATTAAAATAGAGACGCTCTGTATTTTAAATAGCCCATGGCTGTTTCCAATTAAAAAAACTCAAATTTTATCATCTCGCTAAAAGGAGGAACTAATAAATTATTTACAAGTGTAAACGTACACATTTTTAAGATATCCGTGCTACCTTATCTGTGCAGTATGCTTTATAAATGGGTTATTTTTAGGTGGAGAATAGCATTCTATCAAATTGCACGCATGGATTTGTTAATTTGCTGAGCACACGAGTGTGTATTTTGTAATATACCTCAGTGAGAGGTCACTATACTTACTTATACTACTTATACTTACTAATATTATTTAAAATAAATAAAGTTACAAAGTGGCAATACTGATATGGGCAACACCTCCGCTCCCGCCCAAAATAAATAAATAAATAATTTACGGAAACAATAATTCCATAAGATTCAGTCAGTTGGTTTTCTATCCATTTCCTTGTCGTATTTTCTATCACCTATTTATAAAAAAAGTTGACAAAAACAAACAAACCACAATGACAAAACTGTTTGTTGTCCTGACCGTGTGTTTCGTCAGGTTTTCTTGTATAACGAAAGCCAAAATATGAAAATATAAACATCAATCCTCGCTGTCATAGGCCAAAGCAGTCTTATAACTACAATTCCCGCAGACAGGACACCTTTCCTTCGATAATGTCCATTGTGCGAAATATAACTTGTCAATAAAGGTTAAAAGAAAAAAAAAACAAAACAAAACAAAGGACTTACCTTTAAAAAAAAAAAAAAGTATTCGACGCTGACGCCCCCTCCTTCCCACCACTCGGCTGTCTGAAAAGCTCTGACGTAATCACGTCCCACTGTTTGACCGTCACTGTGAGGCAACATGGCGGCGCACAGTCTCTTTCCGTCTGTCAGCAGACTCTTCTTCGCTTTAAAGGTGAGTTGTGCATGTTTCAACATCATCGATTCTTACCTTAGCGGTGGATGCAGGTCAGCATCGGTCAGTGTCGTCAGTGTTAGTCGGTAGAGAGCGACTCGGTGTTCGAAGTAATTGTTAGCTCACACAAGGAGACGACTCCAGTTAACAGCGCAGTGAAGGAGAGACACGTACGTTAGTTCTCTAACCAATTAACATATCCAATCGGATCGGAATTTTTTTTTCGTTTAAAATCCATTAATAGGGCTCCTTAAGATTTTTGTTGTTTTTTTTATGTTTGTAATAATATTACAACTTTTTACAAAGTCCAAATGTGTGCCCCACAAACACGTATAACGCAAAGTGTCATAATTAGATGACTTGCAACTTTGTCGAAAGTGCCTAAACATTGTATTAAGACATATATTTATATATATTATATAATAATAGATGAAGGCCAGGTGGCGTGATAGAGTGTGTTATGTTATATTAAAATAGTTCGTTTATTATGTTTAGCTCAGAAACAGATAGGTCACGACCTTTCATTCAGCAAGTGTTTCTCTTACATAAATAGGCACGTGTTAAGAAAATGTATTAATAATTATAATTAATTATTAATATCTGTCAAGTGTTATTTTACCACAGCTGGAAGGAGCAATGTGTTTGGTTTAATGTTTAATGTTTAATAAGCAGCTGTTTTACTTAAGGTCGTTTGGCAGGATTTACCGAGTGTGTTACTGTACACGCGAATGTTAAATTAACCTTTTTGTCTGACTGATTCTCTGTGTCTTTGTGTGTCTGTGCAGTACGGTTCACTCCATTCCAGATGTTGTGCAGTTCACTGCAGGGCTCATTATTCCACCGCCCACAGTCACAGTGAAAAGGTTTTTCTTCCTTTCTCTCCTTTATGTTTCATACAATAACATCTCTTGATATAATTACAATATATTATTGTCATTATATTGATTATTATTATTATTATTATTACTACTACACCAATTAAAAAATGTAGTTTCATGTTATAAGAATCTAGCTTTTATTCTATATAACCTGTGCTATACAAAGTAATACACAACACCGTAGGCGGACAGAAGTTATACGCAAGTTGTTCGTAAACGTCTTACATCAACGGAAACTGAACAGTTCCAGTTCTGGTTTCATCGGTTGACTAACTGTCCTCGTCTGTCTCCTCTTTGGTCTCCTTCCACAGACCTTCGATAAGATCCTCATCGCCAACAGAGGAGAGATCGCCTGCAGAGTAAGCCGCGTGCATGGGATTTTTTACGTTGTAATAACTGTGTTGTTTTTGCCTCTTTTTTTCCCCCATCATATTTCAAATTTTACTCATGAAGCGTTAGAATTGGAGGAAATCAATTTTTAAGGAAAGGATCTGGGATTTTTCTCCCCTTTTTCAGGTGATCAAAACATGTAAGAAGATGGGAATCAAGACTGTAGCTGTTCACAGTGACGTTGACTCCACTGCGGTGAGTTATCATATATGTCTATATCTATATATATATATATATAGTGTTCTCTGAATGTATTGCAGCAATTGGCATTGGTAGTTATCTCAGTTGTGGACGCCTTATATACCTCTTTTATATGTGTATATATATATAGTAGCCCCTCGCTATTTCGCGGTTTATCTTTCGCGGAGTCACGACTTGGCGGGTTTTTGAAACTGCATATATAAAATATACTGTATCCCGTATATTTTATTTATACATAGAATTGCTGTTGGGTATATAACCTCATGGAACTTCTTCCAGAAACTCTATATTTTCTGTTATCAAACATCCAGAAAAACATATGTATTACCATGGTATGTAAGTCAGGTGTGATGTACACAACTTTTTTTTTTTTCTATCTGTGCATTTAGGTGCATGCAAAGATGGCAGATGAGGCAGTGTGCGTTGGCCCTGCCCCCACCAACAAGAGCTACTTGAACATGGACGCCATCATGGATGCAATCAGACTGACTGGAGCACAGGCTGTGAGTATTTATTTCAACTCTTGGTGATGTACATTGGGTAGATAATCGTAAATAAACACGATGCCTTCGGGTACTGGATGTTGGTTAATGATGATGATTATGTACCTATATTATTAATATTGAAAAATAGGCGATTTAGATTTATGCAGTTGCTGGATTTAGTCATTGTGGTGCATCTTGACGGTGGTTTGCAGAACACGAGAGTTAAGTGACAGTGAGAAGGCGAAGGAAACGCGTGAGAAGCAAATGTTTGGTGACGCTATGCCCTGGTCCGCTGTTGGTTCCACAGCAGGGCAAGCATTCGCTATGATTTGATCTTCATTACTAAGTTCTTCTGACTTCTGATTGGCTCTCTCTCATCTATTGCAGTATCTCGTTAACACCTTATTGTGTACAGCAGGTGATTCTTGTGATCTTAAAGAGATATTTCCTGTCTTAAGGTTCATCCTGGTTATGGCTTTCTGTCCGAGAACAAGGAGTTCGCAAAGCGACTGGTGAGTAGAATCTTCAGAGTTTGTGAACACATGAAAACCCATTTTTTATTTTGGTGAAAAACCACGGGTAAAGGTGTTTATAAATAATTTCATTATTTTTCAATTATGTTTAGTCAGATGTAAATATTGTTCATTTCTATACCGGGCTTGTGGTGTTATCCTGTCACTAGGCAGCAGAGGGCGTGGCATTCATTGGCCCAGACACCCATGCCATCCAGGCAATGGGTGACAAAATAGAGAGCAAGCTCATCGCGAAGGCCGCAAAAGTCAACACCATCCCAGGATTCGATGGAGTTGTAAAGGTAGGAGGAAGAAGCCGCGGTGTGTGGAAATGTATGGTTAAAAATGGGATTTATTAGATGAAGCAAAGAAGGTGAAGAAAGGAAGGAAAAACCTTTGTCTGTGCTTTTAGGGTACATCATGGAGCTGTGAGCCGTGAATGAAAATAAATACTTTTTGATTTTGTTGATTGACCATGTTATTTTGAATCTTCAAAACATTAAAATACCCAGCTGCATTTGGGTTTTCAGTACTTCAAATGTATTAAAGTCAGAGTTAAATCGTCACGTGCAGACCCCCAGATGTAGTATAATTGGGAGAAAAAAAAAAATGCACTAATGCAGAAATTGTTATTGTTACGTTCTAACTGTGCTCTCTCCCTGTGTGGTAGACTGCTGAGGATGCTGTGAAGATTTCCCAGGAAATCGGTAACGTCACAACAGTTCCACGCACGCACATTGCAGTCACATTACTGCGTTAAAAATACTGACACTCGATGTTCCGCAACATCGAGTGTCTTTGTAGCATTGATGAGATTTGACATTCTTCTGAGGTGAAAATGACGTTCTTTTCAAAAGCATCTCCATAGTTGCGGGTGTTTCTAACCCTGGTTTTGTTGCTAGGTTACCCTGTGATGATCAAGGCATCTGCGGGTGGAGGAGGGAAAGGGATGAGGATCGCCTGGAATGATGAAGAGACGAGGTACTGAATCTGACTCTGTCTGTTTGTTGAACGTGTGAGCGTCTGTATATCTAAATGTTTTTGTTTTTTAAATAATTTAAATACTAATTTAGCTAATATTTATGAAATGTTCATTTTAACCTGCATCTTAGCGTAGACTATTTTCAGCCACACTAATTTAAGTTGTGCTATTTACTAATATGCTCAATATCTTTAATTTTTTATGGCCCATTGCTGCCACCTAGTGGAAAGTCACTGTCACATAGACCAGGGGACTCCAATCCCTGCTCAGGGGACCGATCTGTAGGTCATTTGGTATCGGGCTGCAGTGGGACACAGTGAATAAATGTCCTTCAGTTTTACTAATTGACTTCATTCCAAAAGAATCCAATCATAGATAATCTGTCAATGTTTCCAAACAACAGGTCCTTCAGACTCTGATACTAACAGAATTAAATTTAAAAGATGTTTTATTTTGAAAATTCAATGATCCTTTAACGATGGCACTGTAATAGGGGTCCGCAGTAACACCTGATACTGACCGACCGGTCCTTGGTACAAAGGTTTCCTCATTTTGTTAACCATTTTCATCCAGATCACAAAGACCAAGTCTATCTGTAGCTCACAGTGACACTGTAACTTTATGTCTATGATTTGGGTTTAAGTTTGAGTCCTCCACAAAACTGATACAGTGCATATGCTGTTATATGTATCCTGTTGTAGGGAAGGTTTCCGGTTTTCATCCCAGGAAGCGGCCTCAAGTTTTGGAGATGACCGGCTACTCATTGAGAAGTACATAGACAACCCCAGACACATAGAGATCCAGGTACAGCACACGTGAAGATACAAATGTACACATTGGTTATTAAAAGGGATTTCCGACAATATTAGCCAGCCGATATTATCAGGCGACCGATATTAGCATAATTATGTCATATCCGCAAGAATGGTCGACAGTTTCTCCTCCGATAATGAAAAACAGGATAACGCAATGCCTGGGTTTGATGTTTGCCCTAAAAATAGTTTTGGGGGAAAAACGTCTGCATGTGAAACCGAAAGCCACTAGATGGCAACATCGCAGCTCATTTTAGTAATCTGGTTTAATAACCAGGGGATTTAATGCAGAATGCTGGTGTCGGCAACTCGAAAACTAAATATTACCAGGCGTTCAATAGTATTTAAACTCTGGGAGTCAGGGCAGAGAATAATAGAGAAACAGCTGGAGCTTTAACCCCCTCCCCTTTGTGAACATGCGGCAATCAACTTCCTTAACCACTAACCCTCCACTGCCCCACTACTGTATATCGGTATCGGTTCATATCGGAAGCGTTTGGACAATATCGTGGTATCGGATATCTGCAAAAAGTTAATATCGGACATCCCTAGTTTTTATGATTGCAATGTTAAGTTCGAGGTCGTTTCAAGTGACACTTACGCCAAAAACACTTTGCGTGCTGTTCCCAGGTGCTGGCTGATAAACACGGCAATGCTCTGTGGCTGAATGAACGGGAATGCTCCATCCAGAGGAGAAACCAGAAGGTGGTAGAAGAAGCTCCAAGGTTGGTGCCTGCTCTCTATTTTGCTTTTGTCTCTTTATATTTTTATATCAGAGACATGGTTCGTTCTGGTTTTTAAATTGCGTTTTTTTGTTCTATGAGAATCACTTAAAAGAATCACACTTTGTTAAGGTAACCTAAAAGATATCCTTTTCCGATATACTTGCAGTTCGGCAGCTAAAAACATGTAAACAATTTTAAACACATAAATGAATAATTTACTGCTTCCGCTGTGTCCCTGCAGCACTTTCCTGGACCCGTCCACCCGGCGGGCCATGGGTGAGCAGGCGGTGCAGTTGGCCAAGGCTGTGCAGTACTCTTCTGCCGGTACTGTGGAGTTCCTGGTGGATTCCAAGAGGAACTTCTACTTCCTGGAAATGAACACAAGATTACAGGTTAATC